CATCTTTCCCAACATCAGGGTCTTTTCCAGGGAGTCTTCTCTTCTCATGAGGTGGCCAAAGTATTGGAGCCTCAGCTTCAGGATCTGTCCTTCCAGTGAGCACTCAGGGCTGGTTTCCTTCAGAATGGAGAGGTTTGATCTTCTTGCAGTCCATGGGACTCTCAAGAGTTTAGCTCTCTCTCTTTTTTCTTGTTGCAAGAAGTTTGGGCAAATTACCCTAGCAGGCATTTAACAATTGCAAAACATGCAGCAAATAAAAGCATTTAAATATAGACTCTATAACCTTAAAACCTTCCCTTTCCAGTGAATCCCAAACTATCCCTCTTTCCTAATACACAGGTTCAGTAAGTTATCAATTGGTTTACTTGCAATCTTCTTGAAAGGTCATATTTGTGTGCTTTTTCCATCCAGCAGTCAGAAAAAAGCTGAACAGGCAGTATGACATAGTTTGGTTACCACATGGCAAAAGTTCCTAAACTGGATAAATCTGTGGCTGAAGCTCAGAGCTCCACACACAGAGAATTATAAGCAGAACAGAAGACTCTGTTGCCCCTTTCCTCACTAGATGAGCAGAAGTAACATAGTCCAAGCCTGTCCGGACAGACTTAAAGCATTAATTAGACTCAAGCATATTGGTTAAATATAAAATCAAATAACAAATAGCTTTATTGGCATCACAGTATAGAACACTTAAAATCACTGGGATAATTAAAAGGACAAATGTGAAGTTGTCGAAGGTCATAAGGGCACACTGTGATCGTGTGCACTTATATATTCTGTTTCGCCCTGTCTGTTCCCCGAAAGGATGGTTCGTTAGGAACCCTTCGGGTAAGCATGCTGGTTACATGAGGCTGGTTACCCTCCACTTCTCTTGTTGAGTTAAGATGCAAATGTTGGACTTGAAAGCCATGGGGTTTTGCGGGGTCCCCCCCCATTTCTTCTTGGTCAGGAATGCATTGGGATTTCCCCCATGGGAAATAATGGAAGTCATCGGCTCACTAGGCAAATCCCTTCTGAACCATTTCTCAGGAAAGGATTATGTTCGCATAGCATGTATTGACAGCCTGGAGGCATCTTGAGCAGGGGCGTAGCATTGCTTGCTGGTGCCCAGGGCAGGTGCCCGGATGCCAAGTGTGGGTGGAGCGTGCTTGCCTAGCCCTCCCCCCCCCACTGGGTGGGCGTTCACATGCTGGACGGGGGCAGGGCATGGAGGGTGCTCTTCACCTTGCAGTCTCACCAAGCCCCCCCCACCAAAGCCAGGCAGGGTGCAGGGATCTTTGTAGGGGCCTGGGGGCCTGGTTCACACACACACACACACACACACACACACACACACACACACACACTAAGATTCTGCACCCGTGGCCACAGCCCCTCTGCTCCCTGCCACTGATCCTGAGTGCTAGTAAAGAGAGACATTTCATTACTTCATAGTGACTATTTTTCTTTCAATGCAGCTCCATCCCTTCCTTAGGACTGTCTCCTTTAACAACTCTGCTGGAGAAACGATATCTTTTAGTGAGAATGGAGAAGTAGATGCTGGCTTTGATATTACCAACACGGTCGCTTTTCTAAATGATTCCTTTGTGAGAGTCAAGGTTGGAAGGGTGGGTGTAGAGGCTACCCCAGGCCAGAAATTCTCAATTGATGACAACAGAATGGTGTGGCACAGAAGCTTTCACCAGGTGGGGCATAATTCCTACATCAATGAGATATTAGAAAATAGAAGGTTGTTGCACATTCTGAAGGCAGCCTTGTAATGAGAGGTTTTAAATGTTTGACGTTTTGCTGTGTTTTTACTAAGTTTGAAGTTGCCCAGAGTTGCTGGGGTGATCCAGTCAGATGGATGGGATATAAACAAACAAACAAACAAACAAACAAACAAACAAACAAACACGATTTTTCTAATTATTATAATTACTGGGCTCTTACCACGGGCCAGTTAGAGGAGGGCAGGAGGCATTGAGTGTGGAATCATTCCCTCTACCACCTTACTGTGTTAGTCATCTCACCTGAAGTTGAGCAGGCCAGAATGCAATAAGACCTTGCTTGGGAATACTCTGTAACTGTATTTGGGACCAGGGAGGATTTTTTCCTGCAGACTTACTGGCCAGTCTGTGGGTTTTCACCTGCCTCATATTGTCACAACTTGACCGTTAAGGCACAGGGTCTGTATCTTTAAGAATTGGGCACCTCGCTAAAGGGGTTGGGGAAGAGCTATTGCTCTCTGGGAGGCCATATGGGGGCTGATGGGCCACAGCACCCCTTCAGGAGGCAGCCCCGGAGGGAGTGTCACACTCAATGTATGTTACAGGTGGGGTGTGACCTCTTTTCCCACGGTTGACCCAACCAGTATTAACCAGCGGATCAGTTGCTTGGTTTAGGAGGCAAACCCAATTCCTTCGCTAAAACAATAAAGTTGTGGCCTATTTCATCCCAATACCGATGTCCTGTGTCTCATTGAACATGGGTCACCCCCTTCACAAGTCCGCATGCCTCTTGCATTGGAGCTCGCAAGCATTATTTTTTTACATGTGCTATGATAGGAAAATGGAGGCTGGAACAGGTATTCCCTTATGAATGGAGACCATGGGGGCAGTGAAGATTACCTCCCATCCCCTTCCTAATTTGAGCCCTCATGCAATTTTTCTGAATGCCTGAAGCGGGCTCAAAGATCATGAGTTTCCGCATTGTTTTTAAAAACCAAGAATAGCAAAGTGCCATATTTATCCATCTATAAGACACCCCCATGTATAAGACGCCCCCAAATTCCAGACATTATTTTTAGGGGGGAACCTAGTCTTATACACTGAAAAATACAGTAGGTAGTTTGTCTTTGAGTTTGGAATAAATAAAAAAAATTCCTTCCAGTAGCACCTTAAAGACCAACTAAGTTAGTTCTTGGTATGAGCTTTCGTGTGCATGCACACTTCTTCAGATACACTGAAGGTTTCAGTGTATCTGAAGAAGTGTGCATGCAAACGAAAGCTCATACCAAGGACTAACTTAGTTGGTCTTTAAGGTGCTACTGGAAGGATTTTGTTTTGTTTTGACTATGGCAGACCAACACGGCTACCTATCTGTAATTGGAATAAATAGTTTAGTATTTTTCCTATTGAGGGGGGGAAAGGAAGTCAAAAGTGCTACTACTTTCTGTGAGTTAAACTGTTTGTGTGTTCATTTAAATGGGCAGGTTCCACCCCTTTCTGAGTGTAACCCAAATTGCCCTCCTGGTTCCAGCAAGGAGAAGAAGGAGGGGGAGCCATTCTGCTGCTATGATTGTGCTCCATGTCCTCAAGGCAAGATTTCGCCCCAGAAAGGTAGGCGACACAAGATATATGCTTTTCAAACATAAGTCATGTTAGAAATTGTGGAAAAGGTTAAGTAAATAATTGGTAACATATTGTTTGTTTGGAGAACCACATATTTTTTAGAACAGTACACATATTTTTTTTTGGGGGGGGCAACTATATTTTGGTTCATGTGTTGGTTCAAAGAGTGCAGTTTGGATAACTTTCCCATTCGAATGTCAACAAAACCAAATTCCTCCTCCATCCCTATTGCCATAAAGGAATATGGACATTGTCCTAAAAAGACAACGTTTGTCACCCATGAGATAAACGGACCATTGATCTGATTGAGTATAAGATGCCTTTCTTAATTCTTATTCTGAACAATTATAAGGATGGTTTTTATTTGTAGTTGCCACTCTTGTCCGTCTAAACTGCACCCCAAAAAGCCTAACACACAGTACTGAGGTAGGGTTCTTAGGCATCACTTTGAATCTGGTTTATCTGGAAATATCTGTGATACTTCTGAAGGCGGCCATGTTTAGGGAGGCTTTTAATGTTTGATGTAGTACAGTATTTTAATATTTTTTTGGAAGCTGCCCAGAGTGGCTGGGGAAGCCCAGCCAGATGGGCGGGGTATAATTTATTTATTTATTTATTTATTTATTTATTTATTTATTTATTTATTTATTTAACATTATGAGTTCCATACTCGCAGTATTAGTAGTTGCACTCCAACACATCCAAAATCTGAATGTATTATTTTCTTTCCAGACATGGTTGACTGTGTTGCATGCCCAAAGGACCACTATCCACACAGGAACCAATCACAATGCATTCCAAAGACCATCAGCTTCCTGTCCGTTAAAGAGCCTCTGGGAATGAGCTTAGCATTGATTGCTCTTTATCTCTCTCTCCTCACAGTGGTGGTCCTAGTCATCTTCATTAAACATCAGGACACACCCATTGTCAGAGCAAACAATCGGGACCTCACCTACGCTCTCCTCACTTTCCTCCTGCTCTGCTTCCTCTGCCCATTGATCTTCCTCAGCCCTCCAGAAAGAGTGAGCTGCCTGCTCCGACAAATGGCTTTTGGCCTTGTTTTCACAGTGACCGTTTCTTGTGTTCTGGCCAAAACAATCACGGTGGTTCTGGCCTTTGTGGCCACCAAACCAGGATCCAGAATGAGGAAGTGGGTGGGGAAAAGACTGGCAAGCTCCATTGTGATTTCTTGTTCTCTTATTCAAGCTGCCATTTGCACTGTGTGGTTAGGAACCTCTCCCCCATTCCCTGATTCTGACATGCAGTCTGTGATGAGAGAAATCATTCTAGGCTGCAACGAAGGGTCTGTTGCCCTGTTTTACTGTGTCCTGGGCTACATGGGCTTTTTGGCCATTATCAGCTTTGTTGTAGCATTTTTTGCCAGGAAACTGCCTGAGAGCTTCAATGAGGCCAAATTCATCACCTTCAGCATGTTCCTGTTTTGTAGTGTTTGGATCTCGTTTGTTCCAGTGTACCTGAGCACCAAGGGGAAAAACATGGTGGCTGTGGAGATCTTCTCCATCTTGGCCTCCAGTGCTGGCTTACTGGGCTCCATCTTTGCTCCCAAATGCTACATCATTTTATTGAGGCCTGATCTGAACAGCAAGGAGCAGTTAATAAAGAGGAAATAGCAAACATAATCTCTCTTTATTTACATCATATAATTATGCTGTATTCTATCTCTTACAACTGTTTTGTGCAATTCTTTTAAATATCCACTACTGGCCTCTTTACAACAGGTGCCTCCAATCTCTTTTCTTCCTAAGATTCATTTGGAATACTAAGAAGCTATCATGAGCACCACAAAATATTGACGCCTGACATGAACGTTAGAGGGTAATTGATTAGGAAGTGGCCAAGGAAAAACAATATATTGAGTGGCAATTAAAAAACAAACAAACAAACAAACGTCTCATTCCTTTCTAGGTTATTTCCCTATAAGTAAGGTTTCAGTAGAGTTGCTGCTGTCATGATTAACCAGTGCCAGTGATTTCAGTACAGCCACTCCACACTTAATTGGGGGTTATGTTCCGAACATCAATGAACATCTGCTGCTCTTTCTCCATTCGAGATCAAAAATACTTCACCAAAAATAAACACATCTAAAATTTTGGGGGCTGGATCGAGGCTGGAGGCTTTGGAAAAGTAAAAAAGTCTAATAGGTACCACAAAATATGCAGGCCTGACTAGAACATCCAAGGGTGATTGATTAGAAACTGAAGGAGATTCGCCAAGAGAATCTCACCCCATTCTTTAGCCTGTCTTAGTATAAATGTCATTAAATTAATGAACGGATGTTCAGGTGTGAAATTTTAGGTCAGATTAATCATTGCCACGGTCAAGTGAGGCATTTCAGCATTGATAACAGACAGACCCAAATTCTTATGGCAGTTTATTCTACATGCCCTTCTGTTGTCCCATAATGGGACAGAAGCCACTTTGAATGAAACATCACAAACATGGTGTGTGATTTGTTTTGTCATCTGTTTCATTTTCCTGATGTAAAGAGAGCTAGTTATTATCTCATCTGTAATTATTACTCTCATAATTACTAACTGTCTCTTGGATAATGTCTCAATAGATTTCCAGAGAATAAAAGTCAAAGTCTAAACATTAGAATATAAAAACCCTTCTTGTGATTGTATGCAAGGGAGAGGGCAGAGGAAGGGGAAGGATTTCTGCTGTTGTCTATGTTGAGTGGTAGAATATGATCTTGATCTGTGAATTGGTAGTGTAGTGCGGTTCCTGTCAAGGCGGAATATTGTGCTGAGGGTTCTATTGAAGCTAAGGTTCATGTTTCAGATAGATGTAAGGGTGTTTGAGGAGAAAGAATATTTGCCTCAGCATGCTATTCTTTATTGTGCCCCTTCTCTTTTATCTGCCACATTTGGTGTGCAAACGTACCAGGAGTTGCATCATCCATGATCTGTCCAGAATTCCACATGAATACTACCAACCTGGTGATCTTATTGTTGGTGGCCTTGCTTCTCACCTTTTTTCTGCTTTTGACAAAGAAGACTTCAAAGAAAGGCTAACTACCCGTCAACTTCTTAATACCTTGTAAAGACTTCATATGTCAGATAATACAGAAACATTCCTAAGCTCTAGCCAGGATTACTCAGAAGCAAGTGCCACTGGTTTCAGTGGGATTTACTTCCAGGCAGAGGTGGTGGTGGTGGGGAACTATTGCTAAGCTGAAGAATTACCTAGTTAAGATGGAAAGCCCTTCTCTGTTCTGAATATTGAACTTCACCTCAGGAAGCTTGGGCTGAGAGCTCTTAAGAGGTGGGGTTCCAAGACCCCCAGATGTTCACATCCAAGTGAGGCAAGGCTTATAGGATACTCCTAGTTAAAAATATGTCACAGGTTTGGAAATTATGAGAACCACTCCATTAAGCTAGGCTACCTACTTCTCTGCATTTTGATACACATTTTTAATTGAATCAAATCAGTACCTGTATATAAATGTTTTGTATATTTCTGTGCTTTGTGGTTTAAAAATGCTTTATATCCTCTGTTGAAGGTCTCTGTTTATGTCAGTGTGTGAGTGTCAAAGTTTGATGCTTTGTGCTCTTAATGTTGTGCAGACCAGTTCAGTTATAGCTACTTGGTGATAGGAAGACAGGAAGGGGAAAGAGATTCAATTGCATTTAATATTTATAGGCAGGGCCTGGAACAGGTACATTCATTCTGATTGGTCTTGGGAACAACAGACAGTGATTGGCTGAAGGTTCTGAACAGTGAAGAAATGGCAGTTAGCTGTCAGTTGGGAGAAGTAATGAGTGAGGTGTGAGGCAAAGACAAGAGAAAGCTGAGGTAAAAGTGGACAAGTGAGACTTAAATAGTTAGGTATTTATCCCCAGTTTGTCAAGATTTGCTGTAGTGAAGATCAGAACAAGTGAGCTGGTATGTCTTTTAGGCTAGGAAGGTTCCCATTTCTTACCAGAAGAATGCCATAAAAGCAGGTTTCTTAAGAGCTCAACTGTTCAAGCAGCCAGAAATACAATTGGCTAAATGCTGAGGTCAGAGGCAGATTGGTTCAGCTGCTAGGTACAATCTGTTAGTGAATTGGGCAAAAGTGGTGGTTCAGGGAATTTGGTCTGAGGTCATAATTTTCAGAGGCTGGTGTCAGCAACAGCATCTCTTGAATCTTTAGAAAGTGTTGCGTGCCAGTGCCATGTGACCTTATCACTCCTTAATGGTCAATAACCAGACAAGACAACAACATATAAATTGGGTTCAAATAGGCCAGAACCTTATTGATGACAAATGTGAATGGTTTGGCTATAGGCATTGGATATAGCCGTTTCCCATCCCAGGCCATCTGCTGGGAGTGCATCTAATGGTAACCACATCTGGGCACTTGGAGAAGTACTATTGCCCTAGCCCCCACCCGGGCAACTTGCGGATCCCTTTAACACGATGCCCTTAAACTAGGAAGAGACCACAACCAGCCCACCAGCCAGGACTAACATTTACCCAAACTTCAGAAGCTTGGTGTAGGCTTCTCACTGCAAGAAGTGAGGTTACAGGGAACCAGGCAGAGGGCCATCTCGGTGGTGGCACCTGCCCGGTGGAACGCCCTTCCAGAGGATGTCAAGACAATAAGCAACTATCTTACTTTTAAAAGACATCTGAAGGCAGCCCTGTTTAGGGAAGTTTTCAATGTTTAATGCTGTATTGTGTTTTTAAAGAGTGGCTGGGGAAACCCAGCCAGATGGGCAGGGTATAAATAATAAATTATTATTATTAACAGCATCTCTTAAATCTTTAGATAGCGTTGTCAAGTATATGTATTACCCGAAAGTAAGTATCAGTATGCCCTTATTAGAGATAGAGGCAGGATTCAAATCAGTTCACATTTAAATGTGAACCTACCAAATTAGCATGCTCTAAAAAGATAACAAAACCAAAACACAATTACCATTTGAAATTTATACAATGCATTCTTTTATGGAAAATTGCTTTGCAGATATGTGTATACTAGGGAACTATTTGCAGTGAAATACAGAATAATAATTCTGAAGCCCTTTTTAAAAATTGCATAGCATATTTTCCAAGGGTTCAGCATAAAATTCTCTTTGCAGTGTGGTGGCAAGGAACTACCAGCATATTCTAGCTTTGGTGTTTGCTGTCAAGAAGATCAATGAGAACCCCAAGATCTTACCTAATGTCACCCTGGGATTCAACATCTATGACAGTTACTTCAGTGAAAGGATGACTTACAGGGCCGCTCTGAACCTTCCCTCCACACTTGTCCCCAACTACAAGTGCCACACCCAGAAATATCTGATGGCAGCTATTGGGGGACTGGACTTTGATACCTCCCTCCAAATGGCAGACATTTTGGACATTTACAAGATCCCCCAGGTAAGATACCACCTTGGCGACTTCATACTTATTTACTATCCTATTTTCTATCCAGAAAGGTTTTGTACAGTAGAGGAGTTGTGACTGACAAAGGAGGGTAGTCCTTCCATCCACAAAAAGTGTTTCCCGTGAGCTTTGCTCAATTAAATTAAATGCCACCAAAACACACACCTTCTCATATAGTATTGGGCCATCAGCAGCATTTAAACATGTCTGCTCTAGTTGGGCATTCCTTTCTCCCTTCTAAGTACACTGGCCATTTTTATTTACTGAACGTATGAGTAATGTATGCTGCAGGCCTCCCCTGATTCCTCTAACTAGCTTGGTGTCTCAAGTTCAGTAGATGATGCCATCTCATTGACAGTGTTGCAGGAAGATTCAATGGCAGGTGCAATCAGTTTCCATCTCAGGCTGCAGAGTGTCTTTGGCCAGACCTGACCTCACCCAAGTTGTGAATGGTATGGGAGAAGGTGGCTCTTTACATATATGAGTTTCAGACAATTTCTAGGGCTTTAATTGAGACTGAAAACAATCTGGCAATATCCTGGTGGCTCTCTTCTGTACCACCTGAAACTCCCCACACCACACCCCCAATACAGGCTTAAACCATATAATCCAACTGGAGGGGGATACTGCATGGATTGGTGGAACATCTCTGCAACCCTAGAGCTCAATCTACAATCTTGTGGTGAACTTCTTTTGAATGTATGGGTGTCTGTCATGGGCTAGGAAATAGTATTCTCCTATTTAGTCTTAAAGTAAAGGTAAAGGTACCCCTGCCTGTACGGACCAGTCGTGTCCGACTCTAGGGTTGCGCGCTCATCTCACTTAAGAGGCCGGGAGCCAGCGCTGTCCGGAGACACTTCCGGGTCACGTGGCCAGCGTGACTAAGCGGCATCTGGCGAGCCAGCACCAGCGCCGCACACGGAAACACCGTTTACCTTCCCGCTATAAAGTGGTACCTATTTATCTACTTGCACTTAGGGGTGCTTTCGAACTGCTAGGTGGGCAGGAGCTGGGACCGAATGACGGGAGCTCACCCCGCCGCTGGGATTCGAATCGCCGACCTTGCGATCAGCAAGTCCTAGGCACTGAGGTTTTACCCACAGCACCACCCGCGTCCCCTATTTAGTCTTACCCACTGGCAAATCATCACACCATTGAAAGGGTTAGCAGAGCACCCGCAATGAATGTAGAAGGCCTTAGGCTTAATCCCTGGCATCCCTGGGTAGGTCTGTGAAGGTCTCCTGCCAATCCATCTAGACGATACTGAGATAGATGTATCAGTGGTCCGACTCAGTAGTAGTCACCTTCCTGCATCTAGTCCTGCTTCCATCTGTGGCATTTAGCTGCGGGATGTTTTCCTTCCTAGCAGCAGCAGGAGGAGGCAGCAGCCGTAGTGGGGTGGGGGCAGGCAGCATCATGGATGGAGTACTTGCCTCCCTTGAGAGGTTGTGGACTCTCCTTCACCCAGAAGTGTGGGTTCCCAGGGCTGTGAGTGCCATGCAGCTTGCATGACCGTGGTGCCAAAATTTGTGGGTGCCCAGCCCCTTCATGGGAAATTTTGTGGGTGCTTGGGCACCCAGGGCCCCAGGGAGCCAGTACCAATGCCTTCACTGGAGGTTTTTAAGCAGAGGTTGGATGGTCATCTGTCATGGATGCTTTAGTTGAGATTCCTTCCAACTCTACAATTCTATGATTGTATGATTCTGCATGGGTGAACTGGAGGTTTTGTGAGCAAAACTACACTCCAAATGCCATGGAGGAAGAAGGGAAGAGTGAAGTAAAAATAGAGAGTCTTTGGATGGAAAGAAGGTACTGTGGTAGTGGGAGAGAGAGAGAAAAAAACACGCTTCCACTTTGCATTCTGCCAACTGGTGCCTCTCTCACCCAATGGCAGAGCTTCATGCTCTGGCACAGGGGGGTGGAGAGCAGGTGGGGGCGGGGCTGGCGCGCATCCCAGGGGCATGGCACGCTGCCCACAGGGGTGTGGCGCACATCCTGGGGGCATGGCGCCCAGCACGGGCGGAGGGGGGCAGTCGCAATGGCACCCCACTGAGATCGCGCTGCCAGGGGCAGTGTGCTCCCGCCACACCCCTCTTCCTCCACCAGTGCTCCTACCTTTACCCCATAGCTTACTGACTGAAGACTGAAGCTGCTATCCTCAAAGTTGGAACTCAGACTATCAGGAGGCAGTTGTGCACACATTGTGGCACTTGAGTGGGATTCTGTGCATTAGTGGTTTGATAGATGTGTGGAAAGGAAGGGAAGTTAAGACACCATGAAATGAGAAGTTGAAATGCAGTGATGAAGAAAAAGGGATGAAATGGAGAAAGAAAATGGAGGAGAGGAAAGTAGCAGTGCAGGAAACCAAGGACTACAAACTCAAGAAGGAAAAATGGGGGGGGGGAGAGGGAAAAAGGAATGCAAGGAAGTGGGCATGCGGGGGTGGCAGAGAATGAGGCAGAAGTTGAGAAGCTCAATGGAGGCAAGATCTGTTGCCCTTCCCAACTTTCTGGAACCTGCCTTCTTAAGGCAACTGGCTCATTTCACCTTCTGTGTGGTCAGGCCCTCAATGGAAATATGCAGTCTGTCTTCCACATTTGCAGATTATGCTTCTTTATTTCCTTCTAGCTCACTTATGGCTCCTTTGCTCCAGAGGATCCTGGTCAAAGCCAATCCACTTCCTTCTACAGGGTGGTGTCCAATGAAGCCCATCAGTACACTGGGATTGTTGAGTTACTTCTGCACTTTGGTTGGATGTGGGTTGGATTGCTTGCTAACGGAGACAGTGGAGAGAGATTTATTCAGACGCTGAAACCTCTGCTCTCCCAGAAAGGTATTTGCTTGGCCTTCTCACAGACAAACCTGAAAACAACACATTTGGCTGATTATTATGACATGCAATTACAGTTCATCCAAATTTATCAAGCTATTATGGAAAGTAAAGCCAAGGTGGTGGTTGTCTATGGAGGAACAAGGTCCATGCTTGGCTTGCGAACAATTCTAGCACTAGGTTTAGTGGAAAATGTGACCAAGACATCTGTGGGCAAGGTGTGGATTCTGACAGCACAGCTGGATTTTGCAGCATTAACCTATCAAATGAGCTGGGATATGCAAGTCTTCCAGGGTTCCCTCTCGTTTGCAGTTCATTCAAATGTGGTACAAGGATTCAAAGCCTTTCTTCAGGTCCATAATCCTTTTGAGGCAAATGGAAATGGCTTTGTCAAGCAGTTCTGGGCACAAGCCTTTCTCTGTTTATTTCCAAACTCCAATACAGAGGAGCAGGCCAGTGGAACCTGCACCGGAGATGAAAAGCTGGAAGATCTCCCTTCATCTGGTTTTGAGATGAGCATAACTGGCCACAGCTACAGTGTCTATAATGCTGTCTATGCCATAGCACATGCTCTACATGCCTTGTTTTTGTCCAGGACCAAATACAGGGTAGCAGTGGAAGGAGGGATGCGGGAGCTTCAGAAATTCCAGCCTTGGCAGGTAATTCCTTTCATGAGATACATTTTATTTGACCTGGGCAGTGATACATAAAACAGTACAGTGGTACCTCAGGTTAAGTACTTAATTCGTTCCGGAGGTCCGTACTTAACCTGAAACTGTTCTTAACCTGAAGCACCACTTTAGCTAATGGGGCCTTCTGCTGCTGCCGCGCTGCCAGAGCATGATTTCTGTTCTCATCCTGAAGCAAAGTTCTTAACCCGAGGTAATATTTCTGGGTTAGTCTGTGACCTGAAGTGCATGTAACCCGAGGTAACACTGTACCCTGAAAAAAATCAAGCTTCAATGTAAGACCATATTCTCCCCTTGTGTGCAGAGAAGCTGCTCATTAAGGACTAGCATAGTGAAATATCAGGCCACATTGCTTACAGCTGTTAAGCAAGAGGACCCAATCCTGCACTATCCTGCTTTTTTGTGAGCAACTTCCTTTGTGTGCATGGCAAAACATGCAGCAACCAGAAGCATTGAAAGACACACTGTAAAACCTTAAAATATGCCCTTTCCTGTGAATTCCAGAATATCCCACTTCCCTAGCACAAAAATCGATCACATGCTTAGCAGGTCCTACATGGTTTACTTACAAAACTCTTCGAAGTTCAAAGGTTTTTTGGAACACAGCACTCAGAAAAAAGTTGCAGAAGCAGAAGACATAGCTTGATTACAAAATGGCAAAAGTTCCTAAACTTTTTATTGGTATAGAAAATGGTAGTTCCAGACTACATTCTTTTCTGAAAGAAGCTGCTTCTTAAATCCATCTGGTTGTAAGGAACAGCTCAGAACTCCACTCAAACCAAATTCACACACAGAATAAGCAGAACAGAAGGCTTTGTTGTCCATTTCCTCCCAAGGTAAGGGGAAGTGACATAGGCCAAGCCTGTCAGGACAATTTACTCTACAGCATTAAACCCTTTATGTATGTATTACAAGACATTTGCATTACTTCAGAGTTACTGTTTTCCTTTCAATGCAGCTCCACCCCTTTCTTAGGAGTGTCTCCTTTAACAACTCTGCTGGGGAAACGGTATCTTTTAGTGCGAACAGGGAAGTAGAAGCTGGCTTTGATATTACCAACCTGGTCACTTTCCCAAATAACTCCTTCATGAGAGTCAAGGTTGGAAGGGTAGGTGGGGAGGCTGCTGCAGGCCAGGAATTCACCCTTGAGGACAACAGAATGGTGTGGCACAGAAGCTTTCACCAGGTGAGGCATAATTCCTACATCCTTGAGAGATTAGGAAAAGAGAATGTTATTCTACTTCCATATCATCAGTCCAGCACATACCTGCCTTTCCAGCCAGATTCGAAACATTTTCATCTGCACTGCTTAAGAATAATAGAATCTTAGAGTTGGAAGTCATCCGGAAAGTCATGTGGAATGAAGTTATATGGCTTTAGTAGAAATGTTATAAGCAATTAAGCACAAATAATTATTATAGTATTAAGGGAAAATAAGGTTAAAATATGTTAAGATAATTATATGACAGAAAATAGAGGAAGATGGAAAGGAATTGCTGAAACAATTCATAGAAGTGGAATACAAAAAGGAAGGTGAGAGGAGGTCGTTGAAACAAGGGAATGAAAGATAGGATATTGAAATGGTATGATGTGTTTTAAACTGTGTGTTTTAAATTGTTTTTGCTTTGTTGGGTTTAGTTTGTTGTGTTAATGTTGTGTTGTGTAATGTTTACATATTGTATTGTATTGTTTTTTTCTTCTCTTCTTTTTTCTTTCTTTTATTGTAGTGTTTAAAAGTAATAAATATTATTATGATTATTTTTAAAAAAGAATAATAGAATCATAAGGTTGGAAGACATCCTGAAGGTCATGTTGTCCAGGATACAGGAATCTCAACGTAAGACGATCTGGCTGGCTCAGATCAATGCCCAACTAGTGCAGAATAATGCCATTGGCCAGTCTTGTCCAGCATCTGGATATGTCATGTGGCTTTTGGCTTGGGGCTCTTTTCGTCCAAGTGTGTTTCATGAGTCTCTTGGGAAGAAGATGCAGGTGTTTGCGGCTTGCAGTTCAAATGCATGATGGTTGAGAAGGTAGCAGAGGCTGTGAAGGTTTGTGGGTAGCTATACTTTGTCACCACGTGTAGAATGAGGAAAGGGACTTCTTAGATCGGAGAAGAATCAGCTCTCCCCAAGATGGCTTGCCTGGCATCTCCCTACATATTTATAGGCACCAGGCGAAAACATTCCCAAGCCATTGGTGAATTAAACTATTTATGGTCTTTCAAACTGGGATGTTACTGTTTCTGTTTGTCATGCTTTCCCTTTTTATGTTTTTATAATGTAAACTGCCCTGTGGCATGGTGAAATAAATAAATAAATAAATAAATAAATAAATAAATAAATAAGGTTCTGAAAGTGGCCAGCCAGACGCTTGTGGGAAACCCGCAAAGAGGACATGATCATAAGACCTCTCTCCCCTTTTGTGGTTTCCGACAACTGGTATTCAGCACCATACTGCCTCTGACCAGTGAGTAAATGCATACCCTCCACCAAGGATGGTAGCCTCTGATAGGTTTCTCTTCCATTAGTTTTTCCAATCATCTTTTAAAGTCAGCCAAGTTGATGCCCATCAATGTCTCCTGTAGAATTGAATCTCATAGTTTTAGCTATACTGTGTGAAAAAGTGCCCCAATCAATCAAAAATTAACTTCATTGGATATCACTGAGTTCTAGTATTATGAGAGAGGGAGAAAAGCTTTTCCTTACCCTCTTCCCCATTATCTACATGAGCAGGTTTCACCACTTTCGCTATGTAACCCAAGTTGCCCTCCTGGTTCCAGGAAGGAAAAGAAGGAGGGGGAGCCATTCTGCTGCTATGATTGTGTTCCGTGTCCTCAAGGCAAGATTTCGTCCCATAAGGGTAAGAGACACCGGATATATAATCTTCCAACCATATGTCATGTTAGAAGTTGAGGAAAAGGATAAATAAATTAGTGGTGATGTGTGCATTTTTGTACATATTGTTTTAATGGAGAACTGCATTACAAATGTTTAGAGAAGTACATATTTTTAAGGGCATCTGTACTTTGGTCAATGTGTTTGCTCAAGGAGTGCAATGTATATAGCCTTCTCATTCAAGTGGCATAAAAAAAAAACCCCTCCATCCCTATTGACAGATAGCCCCCACAAAGGAATATGGACCTTCCCCCCAAAAAGAAATGGTTTGACGCCCATTATCTAATTTTTGTTACAGGGTAAGACAGCAGGCAATTTTGAACTAAATGCACCAGTGATATGACTTTGTATGAGACACCTTCTTTAATTCAGGCAATAACAAATAAACATGTCTATGAATGATGCGTGATCGTACACCCGGGCGCGGTGGAATGTGTTCAACCTAGTATGTGGGGGTAGAATGGGGCTGGGAATGGAACCCCTGTGCAAAAAGGTCATGGACTGTACCTGTTCTGAACAATAACAATGTGGTTTATGTGGAGTTAGCAAGCCATCACAGGACACCCCACATAACCCAACACAAAGGTTGAGGTGGGATTCTGATGCATCACTTTCAATCTGGTTACTCTGGAAATATCTGTGATAACTACAATTTAACCTTATGTGTTCAGTACTCACAGCAGTAGTTGTCACTATCCTAACGTCTGAAATAAAAATGCATTACTTTTTCCCCAGACATGGAAGATTGCTTTGGGTGCCCCAAAGACCACTATCCAAACATGGAACAATCGCAATGCATTCCAAAGACCATCAGCTTCCTGTCTTTTAAAGAGCCTCTAGTGATGAGCTTAGCATTGATTGCTCTTTTTCTCTCTATCCTCACAGTGGTGGTCCTATTCATCTTCATTAAACATCGGGACACACCCATTGTCAGAGCAAACAATCGGGACCTCACCTACACTCTCCTCACTTCCCTCCTGCTCTGCTTCCTCTGCCCATTGATCTTCCTCATCCCTCCAGAAAGAGTGAGCTGCCTGCTCCGACAAATGGCTTTTGGCCTTGTTTTCACAGTAACCGTTTCTTGTGTGCTGGCCAAGACTATCATGGTGGTTCTGGCCTTTGTGGCCACCAAACCAGGATCCAGAATGAGGAAATGGGTGGGGAAAAGACTTGGAAGTGCCATTGTGATTTCTTGTTCCCTTATCCAAGTGGGCATTTGTAGTGTGTGGTTAGGAATCTTTCCCCCATTCCCTGATTCTGACATGGACTCTGTGATGAGAGAAATCATTCTAGGCTGCAACGAAGGGTCAGTTGCCCTGTTTTACTGTGTCCTGGGCTACATGGGCTTTTTGGCCATTATCAGCTTTGTTGTGGCCTTTTTTGCCAGGAAATTGCCTGAGAGCTTCAATGAGGCCAAATTCATCACCTTCAGCATGTTGTTGTTTTGTAGTGTTTGGATCTCCTTTGTTCCGGTCTACCTGAGCACCAAGGGGAAATACATGGTGGCTGTGGAGATCTTCTCCATCTTAGCCTCCAGTGCTGGGATACTGGGCTCCATCTTTGCTCCCAAATGCTACACCATTGTGTTGAGGCCGGATCTGAACAGCAAGGAGCAGTTAATAAAGAGGAAATAATAAATTATCCCATCATCTTTGTGGGGTTTTTCCTACCAAAATATGAGCAATGTAATCTCTCTTTATCCACCCCATTCAGTTATGTTGTGCCAGGCATAGCTCACTTTGAGATCGAAGTGGTAATCAGGCCTCTTGCTCTCCTTCACTTTACCTGAGAAGCACATTTTAGGTCTGAGCTGGTTTCCTCATACTCAGACCACCTGGTTCTTAGAAGCCTCCCTTGCATTCCTATACCAAGAATTTGGAACTTTCAGCATTGTAAATAAGCCTTGTTTTGCTGCCTGTGTTTTCTGACTGTTGTGTGGGAAAGCACATGAACTTTGCCTTTGAAGAGTTTATAAGTATTACCAGTTCTTGACCTAACAAATGTGTGGTCATATTCTATGCTAAAGGAAGAGGGAGGTCATATTTTAAAGGTCTAGCAAACTATATTTCCCCACTTCAATTTGCTGCATATTTTGTGATTTAAAATCTCGGGTGGAAATCTCTCACCAAAGAGTTTGTGCCCCAAACCTGGATCTTGGCATCCAGAGCATTCTCCTTTGTTGATACCTATTTTTCCTTCCTACCAACACAAACCACGTACAAAACTCAGCCCTTTTCACCATTCTTTTGTCTTGGCATAATTGTCAGGAAACTAATGAACTGGTGTTCAGGTGGGAAATTTTGGGAGGTCAGATTAATCATTTGCACCGGTCAGCATTAATAAGAGACTGGCTAACTGTTCTTCTCTTCCTCATTGCTATTAATTCTGCATCCCCTTTTGTTGTCCCATAAACAGACAGAAACCACTTTGGATTAAAAATCAGAAGCAGGGTTTTTTTTTTGCTCATTTTCTGAGAGCTTGTTATTACCTCACCTGTAATTATCACTCTCAGCATGTCTAAGTCTCCCTTGGATAATGTCTCAGTAGATTTCCAGGGAATACTAACCAATGTCAAAACATGGGTATTATAACCTCTTCCTGCCATTCTTTACAAGGGAGAGGACAGAGGAAGAGGAAGGATTTTCACTTTTCTTTCAATCAACTTGTAAAATAGGATTTTAATTTGTGAATTGTTAGAGAAGTGCTGTTCACGACAAGGCAGAATATTGTACTGAGTGGTTGTTAAGCAAGGTTCATGTGCTGGATGGAAATAAGGGTGTTTGATTAGAAAGAATATTTGCTTCAGTATGCTGCTGTTTATTGTGCCCCTTCTCTTTCATCTGCCACATTTGGTGTTCAATCATACCTCGAGTTGCACCGTCCATGATCTGTCCAGAATTCCACATGAATACCACCTACCTGGTGATCTACTTGTTGGCGGACTTGCTTCCCACCTCCTTACTGCTTTTGATGAAGAAAACTTCGAAGAGAGGCTAACTATCCATCAACTTCTTAATAACTTGTAAAGAATTCAAATGTCAAATAATCAGCTGATACTGACATAGCCCCCAGCTCTAACCAGGCCTATTTAGAAGCTGGTTCCACTGATTTCAGTGGGATTTACATCCAGGCAGATGGTGGGGGGGGTATTTACAAAGCTGAGGAGTTGGCTTGGAAGAAGGGAGATGCAGATCTGAATGTGACAGTGAGATGAGAGAGCCCGGTCTTGTTGATGTGTTCTCTCCTCCCCACATCCCACCAAACCTCTTCCAAGTAGAGGTTAACAAGAGAACTCACAGATTAAACCTCCCTAGTTTAAGATAGAAAGCCCTTCTCTGTTCTTAATGCTCATCTCAGAAAGTCTCATGTGAGGGGTATTAAAGGCTCACTTCTCCTTTGAGGTGGCACTCAAAGAGCCCCTGATGTTCTCATCTAAATCAAGCTAGACAATTGTGTTTATAATTTATAGACAGGGCCTGGATCAGATATATTCTGACTGTATTCAGCTGAAGGTAGTGATCAGCGAAAAAATGTCAGTTAACTGTCAGCTGGGAGAAGTTCTGAGGGAGGTGTGAGTTCCAATTGAGCAGTAAAGATCAGGTTTTCCTGGAGGAAAATGGCAGGACTAGGGGAAGTCTGAATGAGCCCTACATTAAGCTAAAATGCTGCTCAGTTCATACCAGAAGAACGTTATAAAAGCAGATTTCTTAAATGATCTCTGCTGTCCAAGCAGGCAGGAACATAATCTGATGAGTTTGCCAGCCAGAGGCAGATTGTACCTAGCTGCTAAACCAATTTGTGAGTGAATTGGACAGGAGGGGAGGCTTAGGGATGTTGGTATGAGAAAAAGATTTAGATGCTGGTGTCAGCAAGAATATCTCTACGATCTTCAAGAAGTGTGGTCAAGTATATGATGGACCCCAAAGTAAACATCAATATTTCATTATTGGAATGGGGGGAGGGAATTCTATTCAGTTCATATTCAAATGTGAAACTACAAAAAAAGAGATGTTCTAAAAATATATCAGAAATAAAACACAGCCATCATTTGAAATTCACACTTCTCCGAATTGTTCAATGCAGTTCTCCAGCTAAACAATATAAACAAAAATGAATATCTGGAGGTCCCTAAAGTATCCCTTAAAATGCATAGATTAGTGTAAGTGGAATACAAGCGGAATACAATGCATTCCTGTGGGGAAATTCTTCTGCAAATATGCAGATATTAGGGTACAATTTGCACTAAGATACTGAAGATTCATACAGAAGCCCATTTTTAAAGAATAATGCATAGGATATCCCCCAATGATATAGCATAAAATTCTCATTGCAGCATTGTGCCAAAGAACTACCAGCATATTCTGGCCTTGGTTTTTGCTGTCAAGGAGATCAACGAGAACCCCAAGATCTTACCCAATATTACACTGGGATTCCACATCTATGACAATTACTTTGATGAAAGGATGACCTACTGGGCTGCTCTGAACTTTCCCTCGACACTTATACCCAACTACAAGTGCAACATCCAGAGACACCTGGTGGCAGTTATTGGGGGACTGGACTTGGATACCTCCATCTACCTGGCAAACATCTTGGGCATCTACAAAATTCCCCAGGTAAGATGCTGCCTTGGGCATTTCACACTCATTCACCATGATATTTTCTATGCAAAAAGGATTTGTATAATAGAGAAATAGTTGTGAGAGAGACAAAGGAGAGTGATTCTGCCCTTCAGAAAAAGTGTTCCCAGTGTGCTTTGCACAGTTAAATAGAATGCATAGCATCAAATTGTCAGTGTCTGTGGATGAAGAGAAGGTAATGGGATGGTGGAAGAGTTCTCATCTCACCCCACTTCCTTATCCACACACACCTAAAAACATGTATCCAAATTCCATTCTGCTGACTGACACCCTCTCACCTTTGCTCCATGGCCTAGTGGTTGGAGACGGAAGCTGCTCACTTGCAAAGGTGGAAGCCTGCCAGTCAGGAGTCAGCTGCCCACACATTGTGGCACTTGATGGGGATTCTGTGTGTTAGTGATTTGAGAGAAGAAGGGAAGACGCCATGAAATCAGGAGCTGAAATGCTGCGGTGAAGCAAAGAGAAAGAAACAGGGGAGAAGAAAGCAGTAACACAGGAAGGCATAGAGGAAAAAGTGGAGAAAGAAGAGGAGGAGGGAGGAGAGGAAAGCAGGAGTGCAGGAGTGCAGGAATCTGGGCATGCAGGGGTGGCAGAGAAGGAGGTGGAGGCTGAGAAACACAGAGTGCAATCTGCCACCCCCCTCCCAGCTTTCTGGAACCTACCTTCTTAAGGCAACTGGCTCATTTTGCCTCCTAGGTGGGAAGGCCCTGGATGCACATACCCATTCCATTTGCAATAATAGATGATGCTCCTTTATTTCCCTTTAGCTCACTTATGGCTCCTTTGCTCCAGAAGATCCTGGTCAAAGCCAATCTACTTCCTTCTATAGCATGGTGCCCAATGAAGCCCATCAGCACACTGGGATTGTTGAGTTACTTCTGCACTTTGGTTGGACGTGGGTTGGGTTGCTTGCTGCAGAAAGTGGAGAGAGATTTATTCAGACCCTGAAACCTCTGCTCTCCCAGAAAGGCATTTGCTTGGCCTTTGCAGAGACAAACCTGAAAACGACACATTTGGCTGCGTACTATGCCATGTATTTCCAGCTGGTCCAAATTTATCAAGCTATTCTGGAAAGTAAAGCCAAGGTGGTGGTTGTTTATGGAGGAACCAAGTCCATGCTTACATTGCGAACAATGGTAGCACTAGGTGAAATGGAAATCGTGACCCAGATATCTGTCGGCAAGGTGTGGATTCTGACAGCACAACTGGATTTCACAGCATTGAGCCATCAAATGAACTGGGATATGCAAGCCTTCCAGGGTTCCCTCTCATTTTCAGTTCATTCAAATGTAGTACAAGGATTCAAATTCTTTCTTGAGGCACAAAAACCTATTGAGGCAAATGGAAATGGCTTTGTCAAGCAGATCTGGGCACAAGTATTTCTCTGTTCATTTCCAAACTCCAGTACAGAGGAGCAGGCCAGTGGAACCTGCACTGGTGAGGAGAAGCTGGAGAATCTCCCTTCATCTGCTTTTGAGATGACCATGTCTGGCCACAGCTACAGTCTCTATACTGCTGTCTATGCCATAGCACATGCTCTACATGCCATGTTCTTGTCCAGGACCAAATACAGGGGAGTGGTGGAAGAAGAGAGGCAGGAGCTTCAGCCTTGGCAGGTAATGCCTATCATGGGATATACTTTATTTGACGTAGGCAGTGATATGTAAAACAGTACCCTGAAAAAATTCAAACTCCACATTCTCCGCTTCTCTGCAGAGAAGCTGCTCATTAAGGACTAGCATAGTGAAGTGTCAGACCATCTTGCTTTTAAAAAAACAAAAAAATTATTTGTTTTTGCAAATTCATTTACATGCATAGTATTATTACAGATATTAAAACTTGCACAAGATTCTTCTGAATCTCAAGATTTCCCTCCTCCCCATCATTGATTCTTTAAATAACTTTTTAAATTGCATATTATAAATCCATCTAATTTATCATCCTTCATTGTATCCATGTATCATTGCAAGAGTTCTTTAAAGTCTGCCAACGAGTTCAAGTTTTTACAGTGGTCTTTCAAGTACAATATATATTTGTCCCATTCTTTGTTGAAGTTTTGATCCTTCTGAGTTCTGATTTTCCTGGTTAATCTTGCCATCTTTGCATAGCCCAATAGTTTCATCGGCCAGTCTGCCCCAGTAGGTATCTTGTCGTCTTTCCATCTCTGGGCAAGAAGCATCGTTGCAGCTGTTGTAGCATACATAAACTGTCTTTTCAGTTCCTTCGGTATCTCTGCACCAACAATTCCTAACAAAAAGCCTTCTGGTTTTTTTTAACAATAGCTATTTTAAACCTTTTAAAAAAAAAATTCAATGTATATCATTTCACAAAATTCCTTTACCACTTTACAATTTCACCACATATGATAAAAGGTGCCTTCCTTTTCCTTACATTTCCAACAAACATTTGAACTTGTCCTATACATTTTTGCTCATTTCCTCTGCAATACATCATTTACATATAATTTTCTTTTAAAGTATAACACGCCGCAAATTTCAAATCCCCTCTCCATAGTTTTTTCCATGCTGCGAACTGTATATTTCTTGCCCATTGAATCATAACTGATTTAACTTCTTCATCTTTAGTAAACCATTCCAATAACAATTTATACATTTTAGAAAATAATTTCACATTATTTTCCAACCATTCTTTCACAAACCTTGATAGTTTAATAGCAAAACCTTTTCTTTTATCTATTTTAAAGACATCATTCAGCTGGTGATACTGTAACCAATCTGTTAAAAGGTCTCTTATGTCCTCATTTTTTTTCAATTTCAGCTGGTGTTCCTCCTCTACTAATAACTCCCAATATGTTGCCCAGCCTTTTCTCATATTCAATTTCTTCACAGAGATCGCTTCTAATGGGGAGAACCACAATGGTGTTTTCTGTTCTAGCCAATTTTTATATTTATCCCATACCACATATAATTACTTTCTTATTTCATGGTTCAGGAATCCTCTGTGTACCTTAACTTTTTCATACCATAGATACGCATGCCAACCAAATCTGTTAGCAGAACCCTCCAAATCCAAAATATCTGTATTTTGTAATGTTATCCATTCCCAAAACCAGCAAAGGCAGGACGCCTCATATTATATTCTTAAATCTGGAAGGGAAAAGCCACCTCTATCTTTAGAGTCTTTTAATAGTTTATGTTTTATTATTGGATTCTTCCCCGTGCCAGATAAATTTTGAAATATCTCTTTGCCATTCCTTAAAGGGCCCTGCCCCACTGATCACAGGAATCGATTGAAACAAAAACGTTATTGGCAATACGTTCATTTTTATCACAGATGTCCTCCCCCAAAATGATAGATTCATGCTTTATTTCCCACCAATATTCCTTTTACTTCTTCATCTGATCTTATATTTTGTGCCAATGTCTCTAGTACTAAAATAAACAGTAATGGCAACAGGGGACATCCTTGTCTTGTTCCTTTCATTATTTTACATCTTCCATTATTACATTATTCACAATCAGCTTTGCCTGTTGTTCTGAATAAATTGCATCATTTCCTCTATAAAATGTCTCTCCAAAATCCATCATTTCTAATGCCCCCCCCCATAAAAGTCCAGGAAACATGGTCAAAGGCCTTCTTTTGCATCTATAAATATTAATGCTGCGTGCTTATCATTTCTGGCCTCCAAATATTCTATTAAATCAATTATATTTCTCATGTTATCCTTCATCTGCCAACCAAGAAGAAAGCCGGCTTAATCTTGATGGATGAAATCCTTTTCATTCTATTTGCCAAAATATTGGCAGTTTGTAGTCATTGTTTCATAAAGAGATGGGCCTGTAATTTTTAACTGAAAATAAATCTGTATCTTATTTCGGAATCAGTGTAATATATGCCTCTTTCCGAGATTCTGGCAGTTTCTCTGTATTTAATATTCCATTCATTATATCCTTAAGTGGTTGTGCCAGAAAATCCTGTACTGTATTGGCCCGAATATAAGTTGCACCCAAATATAAGCTGCACCTTTAAGATTGGAGGGGGGGAAAGAGAAAAAGAAAAAATACCTGAATATAAGCAGCTTCATTCCTCGCTGCTCCTGGCTGCATACTGGGGGCGGGAGGGGGGCGGATCTGCATTGCTGGCAGCCTTATCCTTTCCTGGCCTTGGGGGAGAAGATGTGGGACTATGCACGGGGCAGGAGCTGCTTTGCCACGCTCCTGGCACTGTTTCCCCAATGCTCCTGGCTACATATCATAAGGTCGCAAATATAAGCCACACATTAACTTTTCACAGTCTGAATTTGGGAAAAAGGTGGAGCTTATATTCAGGCCAATACGGTAATTTCTTATAATACTTAGCTGATAGTCCATCCGGTCCTGGCGATTTACCAGCTTTAGCCTGGCCTATTCCCTGTTGCATCTCCATCATTGTTACTGGTGCATTCAAAGAACTGATCTTCTTCTTTGGAATTTTTGGTTCTGCTTTAAATAACCTATTTTTTCTCTGTGTTCCTCACCGGCTCAATATAGCTCTGTGTAATGACAAACTGTTTCCTTATATCTTTTGGATTATCTACTATTTTCCCTTCTACTTTCAGTTTATTTATAAAATTTTCACTCTCTTTTTTCTTTAACTGCCATGCCAACAATTTCCCTGAGTTATGGTCCGAAAGTGTCCTAAGTTGTATCTCTGTTTTTTTCTTAAATCCATGTGGCTGTACGGAGCAGGTCAGAACTCCACACACACCAAATTCACATTTAGAGTGAGCAGAACAAATGGCTTTGTTGCCCATTTCCTCCCAAGGTAAGAGGAAGTGACATAGGCCAAGCCTGTCAGGACACCTTATTCTACAGCATTAAACCCTTTATGTATGTATTACAAGACATTTGCATTACTTCAAAGTTACTGTTTTCCTTTCCATGCAGCTCCACCCCTTTCTTAGGAGTGTCTCCTTTAACAACTCTGCTGGGGAAACGGTATCTTTTAGTGCGAACAGGGAAGTAGAAGCTGGCTTTGATATTACCAACCTGGTCACTTTCCCAAATAACTCCTTCATGAGAGTCAAGGTTGGAAGACTGGGTGGGGAGGCTGTCCCAGGCCAGGAATTCACCCTTGATGACAACGGAATGGTGTGGCACAGAAGCTTTCACCAGGTGAGGCTTAATTCCTACATCTTTGAGAGATGGGAAAAGAGAATGTTATTCTACTTACATATCATCAGTCCAGCACATACCTGCCTTTCCAGCCAGATTCGAAACATTTTCCCCTGCACTGCTTAAGAATAATAGAATCATAAGGTTGGAAGACATCCTGAAGGTCATGTTGTCCAGGATACAGGAATCTCAACATAAGATGATCTTGCTGGCTCAGATCAATGCCCAACTAGTGCAGAATAATGCCATTGGCCAATCTTCTCCAGCATCTGGATATGGCATGTGGCTTTTGGCTTGGGGCTCTTTTCGTCCAAGTGCATTTCATGAGTCTCTTGGGAAGAAGAAGCAGGTGTTTGCTGCTTGCAGTTCAAATGCATGATGGTTGAGAAGGAAGTAGGGGCTGTGAAGGTTTGTGGGTAGCTATTCTTTGTCACCAAGTGTAGAATGAGGAAAGGGGCTTCTTAGATAGGAGAAGAATCAGCCCTCCCCAAGAAGGCTTGCCTGGCACCTCCCTACATATCTATAGGCACCAGGCGAAAACATTCCTCTTCTCCCAAGCCATTAGTGAATTAAACTATTTATGGTCTTTCAAACTGGGATGTTACTGTTTCTGTTTGTCATGCTTTTCCTTTTTATGTTTTTATAATGTAAACTGCCCTGTGGCATGGTATAATAAATAAATAAATAAATAAAGTTCTGAAAGTGGCCAACCAGACACTTGTAGGACATGATCATAAGACCTCTCTCCCCTTTTGTGGTTTCTGTCAACTGGTACCCAGCACCATACTGCCTCTGACCATTGAGTAAAAGCAGTCCCTCCACCAAGGGGTGGTGGTCTCCGATAGGCTTCTCTTCCATTAGTTTTTCCAATCATCTTTTAAAGTCAGCCAAGTTGATGCCCGTCACTGTCTCCTGTAGAATTGGATCTCATAGTTTTAGCTATACTGCTTGAAAAAGTGCCGCAATCAATCAAATTAGATATCTCTGAGTTCTAGTGTTATGAGAGACGGAGAAAAAGCTTTTCCTTACCCTCTTCCCCATTATTTACATGAGCAGGTTTCGCCCCTTTCGGTATGTAACCCAAGTTGTCCCCCTGGTTCCAGGAAGGAAAAGAAGGAGGGGGAGCCATTCTGCTGCTATGATTGTGTTCCGTGTCCTCAAGGCAAGATTTCATCCCAGAAGGGTAAGAGACACAGGATATATAATTTTCAAACCATATGTCATGTTAGAGGTTGAGGAAAAGGATAAATAAATTAGTGGTGGTGTGTGCATTTTTGTACATATTGTTTTAATGGAGAACTGCATTACAAATGTTTAGAGAAGTACACATTTTTAAGGGCATCTGTACTTTGGTCAGTGTGTTGGTTCAAGGAGGAATATGGACCATCTCCTAAAAAGAATTGGTTTGTGACCTGTGATCTAATCTTCGTTACAGGTTAAGGTACAGCAGACAATTTTGAACTAAACTCACCAGTGATATGACTTTGTATGAGACACCTTCTTTAATTCAGGCAATAGCAAATAAACACGTCTATGAATGATGCGTGATCGTACACCCAGGCGTGGTGGAATGCGTTCAACCTAGTATGTGGGGGTGGAAAGAGGCTGGGAATGGAACTCCTGTGTAAAATGGTCATGGACTGTACCTGTTCTGAACAATAACAATGTGGTTTATGTGGAGTTACCAAGCCATCACAGTACAACCCACATAACCCAACACAAAGGTTGAGGTGGGATTCTAATGCATCACTTTCAGTTTGGTTACTATGGAAATATCTGTGATGACTCTAATTTAACCTTAAGTGTTCCATACAGCATGTTGTTACTATCCTAACATCTGAAATCTGAATGCATTACATTCTTTCCAGACATGGAAGATTGCGTTGGGTGCCCCAAAGACCACTATCCAAACATGGAACAATCGCAATGCATTCCAAAGACCATCAGCTTCCTGTCCGTTAAAGAGCCTCTGGGGATGAGCTTAGCATTGTTTGCTCTTTCTCTCTCTCTCCTCACAGTGGTGGTCCTAGTCATCTTCATTAAACATCAGGACACACCCATTGTCAGAGCAAACAATCGGGACCTCACCTACACTCTCCTCACTTTCCTCCTGCTCTGCTTCCTCTGCCCATTGATCTTCCTCAGCCCTCCAGAAAGAGTGAGCTGCCTGCTCCGACAAATGGCTTTTGGCCTTGTTTTCACAGTGACCGTTTCTTGTGTTCTGGCCAAAACGATCACGGTGGTTCTGGCCTTTGTGGCCACCAAACCAGGATCCAGAATGAGGAAGTGGGTGGGGAAAAGACTGGCAAGCTCCATTGTGTTTTCTTGTTTCCTTATCCAAGCAGGTATTTGCAGTGTGTGGTTAGGAATCTTTCCCCCATTTCCTGATTCTGACATGCACTCTGTGATGAGGGAAATCATTCTAGGCTGCAACGAAGGGTCAGTTGCCCTGTTTTACTGTGTCCTGGGCTACATGGGGTTTCTGGCCATTATCAGCTTTGTTGTGGCATTTTTTGCCAGGAAACTGCCTGAGAGCTTCAATGAGGCCAAATTCATCACCTTCAGCATGTTCCTGTTTTGTAGTGTTTGGATCTCCTTTGTTCCAGTGTACCTGAGCACCAAGGGGAAATACATGGTGGCTGTGGAGATCTTCTCCATCTTGGCCTCCAGTGCTGGCTTACTGGGCTCCATCTTTTTCCCAAAATGCTACATCATTGTGTTGAGGCCCGATCTGAACAGCAAGGATCAGTTAATAAAGAGGAAATAATAAATTATACCATCATCTTTTGGTTTCTTGCCACCAAACTATGAGCAATATAATCTCTCTTTATCCACATCATTAAATTATGTTGTAATCTCTGTGTTGCAATTGTTAAAACTCCCCTGTGGTCTCTTTGAGACAGGGGTCCCTGATCTTGTTTATTTGGAAAACTAAAAAACTGTCTTGAGTACCACAGAATATTGATGCCTAACTAGAACTTCAGAGGGTGATGGATTACAAACTGAACATGAAAAAACAATACACTGAGAGAAAACTTTTATATAGGTCTTGTTGCTTTCTAGCTTATTTTTTCTGCAGGTAAGGTTTCAGTAGAGTTGCTACTGTCATGATTAACCAGTCTCAGATATTTCAGTACAGCGAGTCCCCCACTTACTTTGGATTATTATCCAGTGCCCCCTCCCACATAAATGAATATTTGATTAGTGGGGAGCACCCTCTAAACCCTTTGAATGTCTTCTTTACTGCTCTCTCTCCATTCCAGATCTAATATGCTGCACCTAAAATACCCACGTAGAATTTTGGGGGCTGACTGGAGGATGTGTGGAAAAGTTGCTCCTTCTGTGCTCTTCTATGCACATTAGCTGTCAGGTGTGTGTGTGGGGGGTGAGCAGCATAAACATCCCCCTGCTGCACCTCCAGTCTCTTCTCTGCCCTCACAAGCCATGAGAACTCTCAAGCTCTCTCGATCCATTTCTGGGTATTAATTATTTAATTATTATTCGTGTTCAGTTCAATGCCTGTGGTTATGGGCAATATATTCTAGACCATTCCTGGTGAGTTCTTTTAAAACTTAAAATTCAATGGATGACAATTGTGGTATTTTTAATGGTCTTATTGTTATAAGATGGGGCAGAATGCTTCTGAATGAATATTTTGGAGTAAAAGTATATTGAACATGAGTGAGATTAAGCTCAGTTTTATTAGAAAATATAATACCACCACACACTATGTTTTATTATTTCTATATACTGTCCCACCAACCAGTTGAGTGGTGCTTTTCTATCAGGAACACAAATAGTTGTTTGTGCTTGTAAAGAAGGCATGTTTTCTTGACATCTTCCCAGGGCTAAATTCCCATTGCTGCAAACCATGTAAAGAAGTTGAGAGAGATGCTCACAAGTAAGGAAGGTGGAGGGTTTTCTACACCCATTTTCACCACTGGGGACCAGTCTGTGTGTCGTGGATTGTAAGTTTTATGGGTGCACAATGTTATTGAACTTTCTCAAAGCTTCTCTGCAGCTGGTGTCATGTGACACTAAAGGTCAAAAACCCGAGAGATAAATATCCTGCTACTGAGCAGTTCTGTATTCATTCTCTATTTTTTTCTTTCTCCTGTACAAATCTACCTGTCTTTATTGTTTCTCTAAATGGATACACTCTTTTGAGCTAGGTTTTGAGCCTTGCCTGGGCATCCAGCGAGAATTTTGGGCTTTATAACCATTTTAATGCTTTAAGAACCTCAGTAAAATATTACGGAAGAAAGCCTGATGCCTGTGTATGTTTTTCTTTGGGCTCTGTATGGGAGCTGCAAGGGGATTACTTTTCCACCCACCAGCTACTCTACTATTTTCTGACATGCCTTGGAGATACTACACACAGGCATGAGCCAGGCTTTCCCCTTCCTCCTACAACATCAGGAAATAGCTCAGTTGATTCCAAATCGATGGAAACCAGTTGAAACCAAAACACAGTCCCCACCATTTACCAAGAAGTCACCAAGGCCAATATGCTAAAGACTCTCCTCCCTGGAAGAGAGGGGAGTGGTTGTGGGCGGGAGCCCGAGCTCCGCCCCTAGCAGGGGGCATTAGCCCCCTGCCTCCTCCTCTCACCTGGCTGGTGCCTCCGAGGGGGCGTGTACAGCAGCCTTTTGCTGCAGCGCCAGCCTCTCCTCAGCCTCATTCTTCTCCGTCGTCCCGTCGCATTAGGCTTTTTGGTTTTTTCGCCTACCTCATAGCAATCATCACAACTTTTGTGGTATTGGTGGGTAGGTTAGGCATTGGAATAATGTGGTGTGGTGTGCCGAAGGGCTAGGTGTGGCCATCGCCTATGCCTTCAATTTTTGGGTATTCCGTTAAAGGAATCTGGCGGTCGTGTACTCTGTCCGATGCCTGCTTGGCGGGAGGCCATGGCACGACCCTCGGTGACATCAGGGGAGAGCCTATAGTTGGATTAGCATCAACAGGCTCCACCTACTGGTGAATAAACCCCCTTGTTTTAG